ATATGTTTCCTTATTTTATGCATTGCTATTTTTTATTATTAACATGTAGTAATGGAAAGTGCTTATATATATTTTAAATTTTAATTTCTATAAAAATATTAGAATACAATTGTTATATCAGCTAAAAATCAAGGTTATTCTACATAATATTTTCTCTTGATCACTGAATGGCTAGAATTTAAATATGTTCATTATATACTTAGGTCGCAGCGCCTTGTTCACCAAATTGGGTCTCAGAACCGTTTTGAGTCGAAGAAATTATGGAGATATAACGGAGCCTAAAGTAGGACAGGAAAGAGTTTACTCTTTGGAAGCCCATCACAATGGTCCACACAATTGGATAGGAGGTCACATTTCAGCAGATAGTACTGCGTCATTCGATCCGGTGTTCTTCATGCATCATGCTTATGTTGACGCTGTTTGGGAACGCTTCCGAGTCCAGCAGGTTATTAATGGGATTGATCCGGAACAAGATTATCCTAACCCCCCTCATCCTGTTGGACATGGTCCTAATGACATAATTGACTTCAGACCATATCTTGCTCCAATAACTAATAGCTTTGCCATGTCGAATGTAATTGCTAATCTTGTCAGATATGAACCTTTCCCAACTTGCTCGAATCGATGTAATGGGAGTCCTCATTTGCGTTGCCAGCGGACTAGTTCCGGTCAAGTCTGTGTGTCTACAGTTCGGCCTGGTGCACAAGCTTTAAGACGCTCTCCATTAATGATGGCTGCGCCGAGAGGGCAGCAGTTTATGGATAATTCCTTAGCTTTTGGCGCAAATGATTCAGAATCTTTTGGACAGTCTCCATCAGAATCACTAATGATGGCTCAGGCAAGCGGGCCTATTCCTGGAGGCAACAGATTCCCCGACTCGCCATTTAATGATAGGCGGAATAGAGAAAATACAATAGGTACTGCTCCTGTTGCACCGGAAATCCAGGCAGCTAGGATGGAAGTGAGAGAAGTTGTTCAAGAAAGAAAACGAAGGGATGTTTCTAAAATATTTCAAAATGGCACAACCAATGGGGCTCATTATCAGTCTGTTTCCTCCCTTCAACGGTCTTTTACAAACACTTTCCTCCTTGACGGAGAGCTAGATCTTAAGCGATGGGTTTATGTGCCAGTTCGTATTGTGCACACTAGATCTCTAAATGTTGACAGTATTGACCCAACCTTTTATGGACATGTAAGATTGTCAAATGATGTTTGTCATACAGTTCAATCTGGTGCTTCAAAAGTGTTTGTATCTTCCGATGGTTTAGATTATTCTGGAACATATAAAGAGTTTGTGATAATAGATGAGAGGCAACCGGTTTCCGTTTCAACAACTGCTGTAGGGATAAAGAACCCGGATTATGGCGAAGGAGAGGTTCTGTTCACTGCACATGACTCTTGTGGAAGACCATGTCGCCCTCTGTGTTTGACGGACACCAAAGGGCAACAGAAATATAAGGCTTGTTCTGGGGCTTTTAAGATCTCGTCTGCTAATCCTAAGATGTACAAACCTACGTATAAAGATGCTGCAGCTGGTGATTGGATACTGCACAATATGGTAGATTCGTTTTCTCTGGATCCACAAACTCCTGTTACCTTTGTCTGTGGAAATGGTAAAAAATGGCCTTGGGAATTTTAGAGTTTATTATGTATACAGACTATGGATTGTCACAAATTTTATTGATCTATGCAACTTATGAATGTGCAAAAAAGAATAAAGATTCAGTAAAGTAACGGTTTAATTAATGTGAATTCCTGCAATATATTTTTATCATAATTTATTTATTTTGTTCGAAGTGTCAGCCAGATACTAGTACTTGTTACTAAATTGTACGAATATAGCCAAAAATGAGAATAAATTAATTTTTAACTAAATATGTCAAACTCCGCATTGATCAGCGCATACATGTTGTCATACATATTATCATTGGAAAAGTCCGAATTTATCCAGTGTTGTTTATTTACCTTTAATTTATATTTTAAAATTTGCACTGAAAATCTGTTTTCATCTCGTCTATTTTACTACAATTCTTACGGTATCTTGAAAAAAGAGAACAAGTTTTGAATTAAATTTTGATTTTGCTTGCCATTTACAGATATATTTTCCGTTAAGGATTTTTTTTAGCTGCTGATACATTTATGCTTGTTTCCAGTGATAAGTTTTAATGTATTTAAAACACACATACACGCCATGCGCGGATCTAGAAGGGGAGGGGGTGTCGGACCGTCTCCCCCACCCCGGGATTTTTAGAGTTATAATTTTTTCTATGTAAAATAATTTTTAAAAAATGACCTTGGAGCCCTTCCCCAGGAAACACAGACCCCTCATAAAAAGGTAAGAAGAGTCATTTATGACAAAGAAAAGTAACTTTTTCTCACCCACACGAAATAGAATTTTTCAGGTTTTGGCAAGTTATTTGACTTTTTTTTTCTCCCGAGTCCGATATTTGATTTGGTATAAACCCCATCCCGGAAAAAAATATCCTGGATCCGCGGATGTGTTCAGTACACGTATACTCAGGTAGGGAATATTGGCCACCCCCACCCCTTCCATAAATCCAGGGCAAAGTCCTGATTGGTGTCCAAGAAGCGAAGCATCAGAATTCCGACGAAATAAACCTTTTCAAAATTAATCATACATGAAAATGGAGAAAATATCCATATGTCAAATTTGAGTTAAATGTGTGCAACCGTTGCCGAGATATGAACAGAAAGTCATTGATGACGGATTGACGGAACAGGGTAACACTATATGCCCCAGCCATTTTATGGCGGGGGCATAAAAATCGTCCACTACTGATACCGAACCTTGATGTATATGTGAAAACTGGTTGCAAAAACTGGTGGTAATGCAATCTCTCACCAGAGGGCGTATTACGCTGCGCTATAAGTGGAGCGAAGCAGGAACGATAACTCTGGGTAGAGATTGGTGGTAATGTTATATGTTATCTACGATTGTTAATGTTGAAAATCAATACTCATTTAATTTTGTCATGCCTGATAAGACAAACACACATATGGAAGCTAAGCGCCACCGAGTACAGTGTTGATGAACAGACAGACGAACGGACAATGTGATTCCTGTGGGTCTCCCGCATTTCACGCGGGACCCTATAAATATTAACTTAAGGACCCTCTTTACATTAATGAAAAATGTTTTGGGAATTGAGAAAAATAATATTTTATAAAAATTTGAATGTTGAGTTCATCTATTTCATTTTCAACTTACATAGGGTACCTGCAATTTATCCCCCCTCCCCCCAAAGTTCAAGACAACGAAGTATCGACGAAGAGAAATCACTGTTGCTGACTTGAAAAAATCGGAAAAGTACTTGCAGATAAAGTGTTCAATAAATTTATCTTGGTCTCATAAAATTTCAAGAATATTTGAGTTGCATACAAAAATACACTGTACATAGATTTTAATTTATTTAGTTTAGCTCTAAGGCCAGATTACGAAAATACCACAGTGTGTGCGGTGTAATAGACGGTCTTTGTTCTCAAAGTACTTTTATTTAAGAACTCTTTCTACACTGTACTCAAAACAGTTTAAATTTTGTGGTATATTTATGCAGTTAGAGTAATCTGCCCCTGGATCTAAAATCCAATAAGGTCATTCCAAGTTTTTTCTATGTTTAGTGTCCGCGGACGGATTGGTTTTGGGGTTATGGAATTTAAAACAAGTAAACAACTACAAATATTCATAACACAACTTACTCTTTTGGGATCGGCATTTTATTTTTATTTTAAGTTGTGTACCAAAATATTTAATTGTCATAAACTAGAAGTTTATCAGTCTTTGTTGCAATAAAAAGAAAATTCTCAAATGATGATGAGAAATTCTCCAATAATTTTTATAATACTGTTTTTCCCCTCTTTGTTTGTGTGTTTTTCTCGGATAGAAAAAATAGGTTTTTGATTTTAGGGTGGACACTAAATATACAAAGAAAAAAAACTTGGAATGGCCTAAATTAAAATCTACGGTGTATTACCCAATTTTTATTTAATTCGGGCATTCTTAACATTTTAATAGGCGAACATAAATCCATTGAACACTTTATTATCATGTAACAACCCCCCCCCCCTCCGCACACACACACACACACACAAGTAAACAAGTGATTTCTTTTCTCATCAACACTTTTTGCGTGGAGATAAATGCCAGGTATCCTGTGTTGAAATTGGGATAGATAAGCTTAGTATTAACACCTTTATCACTGGCGGATTTAAGGGGGGCGTGGGGGGCGCACGCCCCCCCTAAAATTTTCAAACTATGATATGACTAATATTAATAATGCCATACTTAAGTATATAACTAACCAATACCACTATTTTTGTGCCTGGTTTTACTCTTAAAATACACAAAAACCCAGGAGCTTCCGGGGGCTTAGCCCCCTGGGCCCCCCTCTATTCAAAGTATGATATGACTAGTATTAATAATGCCAAACTTTGGTACATATAAACTAACCAATACCACTATTATTGTGCCTGGTTTTACTCTTAAAATACACGAAAACCCAGGAGCTTCCGGGGGCTTCGCCCCCTGGGCCCCCACCCAGACCCCCTGCCTGAACGAAGTTATCCACGCCCCCCCTAATCACAAATCCTGTATCCGCCCATGTTTATACAATATAATTTTGTCAATGTCCAAAATAACATTTAGCTTTAGTGTAAAGACCAGAGGGTCCTTGATTGAGTTCTTTACTACATATACTTTAAAGTTTTTATGGGTTTTTATTATTATTATTATTTTTTGTTTATTTGTTTTGTGCTTTTTGTTAAAAAAAACCCACAAAACATTTTAGCGCACTTGTCCTCACCCAAAAATCTGCATTTGCCCTCACTTCCCAGTATGTGAACTTTTCCGGAATCAGAGTATTTACCGTAGTAAATTTGTACTACTATATGGACATTTAAATTTCCGGTGATAAATCAAAGCCTTAGGGATAAGACAGGGTAGTGACCACCGCAACCATTCTGATGAATCTGCATGGAATAAAATGGTGAATCATGAAAATTCTATACAGATGGTAAATGAAATCATAATTCGACCAAAAGTAGACGAATTAGAAAATGAAAAGGCTAGATACGAATGCCCTTTGCCGTCTTGTACAGCCACATTGAGAGGAATCGGTTTTGTTCCATCACATCTGAGAAAAGTGCACAATGTAGTGATAAACAACGAGGTAAATAAAAAAGTAATTTTCTTATCCTTATTCGACCATATGCCAGTCTTCTGAATCTGTTACAGTCTGCTGTGGTCTTAAAGTTTCTTTACGCATGTTTTTAAAATACCTCACCCACAGGTACTTGTGGACAGGACCCCCCCCCCCCCCCCCGATATTCAACCCCGGGACTTGTTGGACATTTTTTCACAAATTATATTTATTACACTTATTCATCATGTGTACCATAGGAAAAAATCGTGAAAAACCCAAAATAATCGTTCCACACAGAAATACCTCATTATACATTATAAGAGAGAAAGGTATGCCACTCTGGTTTGTTTACGTTGTACCCCCACTGGTCTTTCTGGGTTTAAAAACATGTACTTATTTTATTTTAACCTAAAATGTCGGTTCACACTGTCTCCACATGTATTTCTGTCTCAGATCATGCTTTCGGATTGACTCTGCATCTCGTAAGAATCCCACAATTTCTCCTTAAACAGCATTGCAGTCAGTGTGTTGAAAAATCCTTAGGTAAACGGTGGGGGGGGTCCTGTCCACAAGTACCTGTGACCCAGCCATGGCATCAGAAACAGGTCTGGTACAATCACTAGATTTAGCTATGTAGCTTGATTTACCTACATAGCTTTATTTACCTACCTGAAGTAACTTTATTTAGCTACTAAATCAAACTTATTTCTTAAATTAGCATTTTTCCCAGAAAGTGCAGAAAATTGCACTTTGGTGCAGTGATAATTTTCAACTTTAAACTCATCTGAAAACTATTCATGAAAAAATCACTCTTGGAGATGTGTCTTTTTCTGTGCAATTGCAATCAAAGTTCTAAAAGTTTTGGGGCTATATACAAAAGTTAATTTGTGATCTAACAGTTACTTCTTGAGTGAAATAACAAAGAAAACCAGTTTTGGTTAACATGAGCACAATGTAAAGTAATCATACTTATCCACGCCTCATCGCACACAAGGTGGTGCACAGTTACTCAAACAATGGAAATACATATTTTCCTTAAAAGTGTTCAAATGCAGCAATGTTAAAAATATCTCTGCTTTAGATTCCTTTTTAAATAATACCTAGAATAAATATTAGTAGACATTTACTTGCGACTTTTTGTCTCTTTAAAATAAAAAGTAAAATTGTGAAAATTTGTCTTGAAATAGCTAAATAAAGCTACCTGAGGTAGGTAAATAAACCTACAGTAGGTAATTTTAGCTATGTAGCTAAATGTACTGATTGTACTGGACCTGAGAAAAGCATTTAAAAAATCCACTTTTCAAGGGGACATGCGTACATTTTTCATTATCAAGTACTAGTACTAAGTAGTTATGTTAGATCGTTTACAACCATAAGATAACAAGAAAACATTGATGTAACCATCAATTGTCGCCCGGGAAATAAATAAAGTAAACGATGGAAATGAGTCTTGATCATCAAACCGCTTCGATATGTGTGAAAAAGGCATGCGTCTAAATGATGGAGACGATGGTAGAGACTATTTTGAAAACTTATTGTCGGATGAAAATCGAACAAAAACGATTCCCTTTTAAACTTTATCAATTCCTCAAGTAAATGTTGGCTGCATAAAATATAATTTGAAACCAGACACATGCATCACCTATTTTCAAAAATGTCTTTCACTTTAAGATTATAAAACACGAACTGTGTAAAGTACGTTTTTACGTTTTTATGCGATAAGTAAAATTCGATGTTCTAAAAAAAGGGACCTGTCGTTTTTTCGATAGTAAATGATAAGCAACTTTATATATTATATATGAAAAATATATATATTTTTACAGATTCACTTTATGGAAGTAAAATTATTGTGTATCTCGTAATTTATAAAGGGAAAGAACATTCTGATTAACAATCTTTTAAATGTTTAGAAAACCTTTAATTCTGAATAACTTCTCCCACCTCAATCCCCATATACCAACACTTAAACTTATATGTATAGAGCAGCCCGGTCCTCCGGGCTGCAATAATGTTTAAAGGTGCTTGGACACAGATTTGAAGATAATGTTTTCTCAGATTTTCAGTATAATTTCATGACTTATATGTTGCTATAGCATTTCATACTAATATATACTAAAAATCTTATTTCATCTGGAAGTTGTTAAAACTTCAAATTTCTGGACGCGTTGGATTGACACATCCTTGCGCTTTCACATATTTTAATTTTATTCTTAATACTTAAGAAAAGTGACAATTTTGTTGTGTATTAATGAAAAATATTAAAATTATAACCCAGAAAATTCAGAGTGGAAATGTTCGAAAGCAAAACCCACTCACAGTATTGTCAGTCCGTCCTCAGTGGTGTGTGCAGAGTTTAACAATTGAACACACCCGGTGAATCGTAAACATTAACAATAACAGAGCTAGTGCCCTGTTTACAAAATCAGTTTACGTTTCACAGGTGTGTTCAATTTGTTAAACTTTGTACACATTACAGAGCACGGACTGACGATACTGGTGAGTTGGTTTTGCTTTCGAACATATCTACTCTGAATTTTCTAGGTTATAGATGTAATATTTTTCATTAATACATAACAAAATCGCTTCTTTTCTTAAATATTAAGGATAAAGTTAAAATTTGATGTAAGTGCAAAGATGTGTTAATCAAACGCGTCCCAGAATTCATAGTTTCAATAATTTCCAGATGAAATAAGTTTTTAATTATATTTTCGTGTGAAATGCTATTGCAATATATAAGTCATGATATTATACAGAAAATTTGAGAAAATATTAAATTCAAATCTGTGTCTAAGCACCTTTTAAAAATCTCATTCCTAAGAATTAAAAAAAACTTAAATATTTTACAGGGTACAAATTCTGATTCAGACAATGGAACTTGCTCTACTTTGCAATGTTTTTGTCCAATACTATCATGTAAATACAGTGGCCAAGGAATGGCAGACAGACATTTCACAAGTTTGAAGCTTCTCCGTCAAGTAAGTTATCTTAGATATTAAATATGTGTAAATTATGTTTAACCAAAATGGCAATTAGTTTTTCAAGTAGTGATTGAAATTTGAGTCTTCAAGAAATCATATCTCTCAGTTTGAGTTGTGAACATTGCATAGAGAAGACAAGAAAAAAAAAATCCACCTCTTAATTAACAAAAACAATTCTATATCACTGACCTTTAGCACTTCATGAAAGTTCATGCAGAGAAAAAGTACAAGTGTGAGAAGTGTGGACTGAGCTTTGGTCTGGACCGTGATAGGCGACTTCACCAGGGGAGGTGTGGACAAATATACAAATGCACAGACTGTGAGGCAGAATACTCTACCATAGAGGCTCTCCAGACACACTGCTTACGGAACAGGCACAGGCGTCCCCCAAAACCTCCCAAGATGTAGGTGTTGGAAAGTGACTTCTGCATAGTTACTCCAAATACTGTAAACCAACTATTAATTCGCAACATTTGAATTGTGATTCATCGATTTGAAACCCATCCATAACTGTTAATATTCACAACTGAGAAACATTTAACATAAACACACAATTAATTTAGTGATTTGAGATGAGATATATTTGCCAGTTGACAAAGTTCATGAATTTGTAGATATTTTTTTCATGTGCTTAAAAGTTGGTTTATGGTATATTTATTGGGAAATTTCTTTTAAGACTTACAAAGATGTATATATATCATTACGGAAAAAAATCTTCATAAAAGTTGATCTTTCAAAACATTTTTATTGCCCAACATATCTTAAATCAAATTCACAATAAATCTCAGTGAAAAGTATAGAAATGCAACAAAAAAAATGTGATCTAATCAGTCATATTTTCTCTGTGATCATTAAAAGAAAGATATATATGCTAAACAAAGGTAAATATTGTGTTTTGATGTACAGTGTACATGTACCCCATTCATTTCAGACCACCTAACAAATAATTAAATTGAAAAGAATCTTTAAATATTTTTAACATTTGTTGCAGTGCTTTGATGTCAAACTATATATTTTTCAGAGCTGAGGAAAATGTGGACAAGCAGAAGGAAGAAAATGCTCCTGCCAATCACGGTACCTCAATTTCCACGCAGACATCAGGTGTAGGTATGATGACCCCATTATCGTCAATACCAGTGATTCTTGTAGAGGTTACCCCCAAAACTCCAGTGGATAGAGAAATTCTCACAAAATCTTTGTCCATGAAGCCAATTTTACCCAAACCATCTGTGAAATTAATAGTTCAACAGCAAACTCCTCCGGTCTCGAATGTATCCCCATATGGAGAGACTGGCACAGAAAGTGAAAGTCCAGAGCAACTTGGGGATTTTTCATCTCAGACAACAGAGATAGGTGATATTTTTAATGGATCTGTATCAGAAGGAATACAAACCTCTTTAGGAGACAAGAATTTAGAATCGGGGGATGACGTACCATCATTATTGGAAAAATCATGGTCATCTACAGGTATCCAGACAGCAATAACATTTAAACCTCAAAGGAAGAAGCAGCTAGGCACTGTCGCACAGACCCAAACTTCAGGAGACATCATCCTAAAAAAAGCCATGGAATCTGCTGACATCCCAATACAGATGGAGTCGGTAGGGACCCAGATGACTCCACAATTAAAAGGACAAAGCTTCAAGAGAAGAACATGTACAACAGAGACTCAGACACAGAATGAAGGTCCATCCAAACCAAAGAAGAGGAGAAAATCTCTGTTAAATGTTTTTATGACAGACTCCATATCTCAGACATCAGCAGAAAGTAATGCTGTAAAAATGGATTCCATGTGTCAAGTGGATAATTTCAAACATTTCACACTGGTTGACATCAGCAAGAGCTCAACAACACAGGCAGCTCAAACTGAAAAATTCATACGAATCGACACAATGTCACAGACTAAAGAACAAATGCAAGAGGGACCACAAAGCTTGAAAAAGAAAAACAATGTTTCTCAAAATGGACAAAATTTAATAGAAAGAAATGAAAAATCTTCAAGAGCAACAGACAGTAGCTCAAAAATAAATCACCAGATCTCAAATACAGCAATTCAGTACAAGACAAGAATTACAACCCCTGGAGAACATCCATTTTCAGATGCAGAGACTGGACCAATACTTAGTGTTACTGAAGAACAAGGGGAAACAAGTGAAGAAAGAACTGTATCTCTAACAGACTCATCAACAAGTGCTGATACTGATTCCTCCTCCCTGCAGGTTCCTAAGTCAGATCTGAATATTCCCAATGAGAATAGGGTCCCAGTCCCATCAACAACTGTAAATACCGAATCCACCTCAATACAGGTTTCTGAGGCAGAAATTCCATCAAATCTGAATATTCCTAGTGAGAGCAGGGTCAATGATATGGGAATACAGACTTTTGAAGCTGATTTTGAGAGCTTTCTTCTTTCACAGTGTGATAATTTGGAGAGACCAGGACAGACTGAGACCCATGTTCAGACTCAGAGCACAGCTACAGACATTGATGTGTTGTTACAGATGACAGACAAGGAGACCAACCCCCCTGAAATTTCCATGGATACTCAGACACAAACAGCAGACTTAGATATCATTGATTCCTGGATGAACCACATGGAGACACAGACATCAACAGACCCAGCATTTAACTCTTTCTCTTTTAATGATATTGAAACACAGACTTTGCCTGACCTGTCTTTAGACACATCGGATGATTCCAGTTTCATGAATGAATTTTCTCTGACCAGTATCCAAACTCAAACAATGGAAGATGATTTATATCAAAGTCTCTCAACCCAGACAGACAATTTCCTAAATATGTTTGATTTTCCCTTGACTAGCATCCACACACAGACAAGTGGGCAAAGTGATCATGCTTCAACACAGACTACTCAGTCAAACACTCAGATGACTGAGATTGGAGTAGGAAGTGATATTGCAGATGTGATTTACTCCTCCAACACGGAGACACAGACAACAGATCTTGGACTGTCTGATACTCACACACAGACTGCCTGGGACAGCCTAGATAATCTGCTTAGGGAGTTCCAGAAGTGACTCCATATACACAATGTCAAAATAATACATTGTATCTTGACTCCATAATCATAGTTTGTGCATTTGAAAGGGAGGACTAAAGCCTGTTACATTCATGAGACCTTTACAAAGCTGTGTTTCACAAAAGAACATAAAGACCAAGGTGAAAAATATTATGTACCCAGAGTCTTAAGATCTTTTCTTCTTTACAACTTCATGAGAAAACATATGAATTTCTTATTCACATTAAAATCACAATGAAATGAAAATGAACAAAATGAATTTAAAGTCTTAGTTGAGGGTTCTTTTGTAAAATAGGCTCCAGATTCCAAGCAAGGCTTTAAATTGTAAGCCCCTTTACCTTCTTATGCACAGTCATACATGCAATGTATCGTAAAATTCTATTAAAACATTCAGCACAAACTGATTAACATGGACCTGATATTAATTACTTCCATGTATACTTGTTTCAAAGATTGTCATTTTGTAAATGACTTGAGAATGGAATGATTTTTTTTTTATGTTATAACTGATTTTATACATGTACATGTACTGCATTTAAAATTTGCAGTATTGATAGCAAACACTTGCCATTTTTGGAGTTGTATTTCTTGGTTATGTTGTAATTACTGTATACAGAGTTATTTTTACCCTGTTTTTTTTGTTTTTTTATTTTGCTGTTTATCATTTACAAACAATTTTGCCCTGTTTTAAATTTGCCCATAAAAAGTTGTGTTTAAGAGATAATTCTGTTTTTCACCCTATTTTAAATTTGCCCACTTGCAATGAAGGTGAAAGGGACAAATATTAAAAAAAAAATTGGGTGAACATTTCTCTATATACAGTATATTATTTTTACAATGGTTGTAGATCAGTAATGTCAGTAAACTGATTTAGTTGTATTTGTTTTAATCTTCTTGTGATAACTAATTGTTTTCAAAATAGAAAACACTTTCTACAATGAAAAGGATATCATGAACCAATAAGCACATCCATATCATTGTTATAGAGGACTCTCTCCATAGTACCATAGACGGATTTTCCCTTGGAGGAATTCTTCTCTAGTACTCTTAGAGTGAGATTTCCCGGGGGGGGGGGGTATGCTCTAGAGAAGACGGGGGGAGGGGGTCCTACTCAATATCCCTAACACTGGAAACTCTTTTTGTCCAGCTGATAGTTAATTTTTAATTTTTGGTGTTGACAAATATGACCAAAGCTTCAATCACATATCTGCTTTATCCATGTCCACTGTTAAGTAAAAGTATATCTGTTTGATATCACTGGTGCTTTGTGTACATATTTAAGGTACACTTTTAAACTATTTTTTTCAATCAAGAAAACGATGATGTTAGCGCTAATTTTGCAAGCTTTCTCATTTTGTTTTTTGAATCAGAGGTGTAATTTTTTGTTCTTTTATTGTCAGTAGCAAACCAAATTATAATCATTAAGTCTTTTTGAGAGGTCTTTTAGATAAATTTATTACGAAATAGAGATCGTCTAGTCAAACACATGCACGTAGTATCGCGTTAGAAAGGGGGAGGGGGGGGTGAGGAGAGAAAGGACAACTTAAAGTACCCGAAAAAATCCGATTTTGGGGGGGGGGGAGGGGGGTTCAACTTTTTGCCTCAATATATTATCTACGATTTAACTATACTGCAAAAAAAAGAGGGGGCCAACCTTTCAAAAACATTTTCAACAGAAAAAAGGTATGATTGGAAAAAAGCCCCTCCCTTCCCCCGATACTACCTGCCTGAGACAGTGTTGAAGAAATGATATAAGTTTACTTCATTATTTGTATACATTTAGCCAAAATGTACAGATTAACTCTATTGAAGAAATAGCAGGTACACACATTAAAAAAAAGTCGATAAAAGACCGGAAAGCCTGTAACGTTTTGGATTTGCCTCCTCTGATAAGACCCAGAATTATTCTCTCATGAAAACACATGTATACTGGTGATATAGACTTGGATTTCCTTAACATTAGAATTTCCGGAAATCTTGCTCATTAGAGTGGGCTTTTACCCAGGATGAATACTTTGCTCTAGATGCCTCGTCTCTACGTGGAATATCCTACTCTAAGCCTAAAGGCCATTAATTTAACAACCAATGTGGAATATTATGAGTACAGATTGTCCTATTAATTTCCTTTTTAGCTTACCTTGACGAAGTCAAGATAGGCTTGTGTTATACCGCCGCAACGGTTTTGGGTCCCGGTTTAAGTTTTAGGAGAAAGTCTATTCCCATGTGACTACTAGTATAAATTCTACCTGGGCCTAACTTGTATCGATGATTCATCTAGGAATGGACATTACCATATCTGCTTTGTATGATTGATCAGACCTACATTTTCCAAATGAGTGACCAGGTTAATATTTTTGGAGTACCTATGTCCCCTAATATCTATTATGAACTGTTATGAATAAACATGTGTACATTGTTAGATGTATCTAGGATTGGATATTACTAGAGATGTTTCGGATGCTGCATCTTACCTTCATTTCCGATCACGTTAAGTTTCTGGAGCAGGTACATTCCCAAATACCCGGTAACCGTTCCTAATACCAAATCAAACTTACATGAAAATTGATTTCGGGATGCACACTAACTAGGAAAACTGGTGTGAGATTTCATCTTCTTTATAAATAAAATTTGGGGGAGATGAGTTTCGTATTTTTTCATTAGATAGTGCAATAATACTTATTTGATTTCTTGTGATAATACCAGACTTGGCGAAGATAGAAGATGGAAAACTATTTGAACCCATAATTAATATATATTAGAATTTATAGGACACGATTGCTGTAATTCTGAAAAACAGTTCTGCTATAATTAAGCAATAGTTTTATTTAACTCACCTCGACGAAGTCAAGATGTCTTACCCGCGGTCTTGACGCCCTGTTTAAAATTTTAGGAGAAAGCCATACCCAATTAACTATAAGCCATACTAGGGCCAAAATTGCATGGATGGAAACTACCAGACTTGTTTCAGATGCTGGATCTGACCTACATTTTCCAGATGAATGACCATTTTTTTGAGCAGGTCAATTCCCAAGGGACTATAATCTCTACCTTGACCAAACTTGCATGGATGATGCATCTTGGAATGGAGCCACTTGACCTGCTTCGGACGCTTACCAGAACCAAACCATCATGGACGATATTTTGGGATGGATACTGCCAGGCATGCTGATGCTGGACCTGACCTACATTTTCCAGATGAGAGACAAGGGTAATGGTTTATAGAGAATACGTAGCTCTTAAACTGTATGGGTAATACAACTGATCTCGGATATGTGATTTGCATTACTTATAGATAACAGTTGTCGAGGTGAGCTTCGTAATCTTTGATGACATATGTTTCTTACTTGTCTATCATCCTGTATATTTCGCATTTCCAAATTTTCACATACAACATAAATTGTTAGCACTTATTTCTTCTACAGGACACAATTGTCAAAGATTGATTGATTGATTATTGTTGTTTTACGCCGAGTCGGCAATATTTCAGCCATATTTCGGCGGTATGAATTAAATACTGTATGAACGGTTTTGAGAGTTTTTGGGTTTCTCTGGCGGCCCCCAATGAGCCTACTCTTTTTCGAAAACCAGAGAAACGATCTTTAGCGTGCCAAGGGGGTTGTAATCCTTGACACGGGGCACCGTTTTACGTCCCATCCGACGGACTTGGAATTTAAAAATAAAAACAGTTAAATTGAAAATTACAAAATGCTAATAAAAATATATACATTTAAATCTTATTGTAAAAATCAGTTTCTTGCAAGTATTGTAAAATTGAACTAGGATTTACATTTGTAAAAAGATCATGCATTGTTTGCACGCCATTAAAAAGTTTATTTCGAACAGGCGTAAAATCAGAACATTCTAAAAGTATATGGTTTATAGTTATTACACAGTCACAAGATATGCACAATTGTCAAAGAAGGTGGGCGAACAAGGCGTGCAAAATGCCTATAGCTTCAGATAATTATATAAAATCATATTCAATCTGTGAATTAAGTATTGAGAGTAAAGTCCTCATTATTGAAATTAATGAAATTATGATAAACAAAATTTTTCTGAGAAAAACATTTTCGGCAAAAATAATTCTTTTATTTAAAAAAAATATGCGGAATTCGAACCATAGCAATAAAATACACCCTGAGTATCATTTTGCTTTGAGACTGACACGCTAACCACTACGCTACACATCTAGTAATCCGTACAGAGAAACTTGAGAACGTGGAAAAAACAGATTCTTGAAAACACCAAAGATCGAGGGATCAGGTGCGAAAGAGGAGTAAGCATCCCTTGCTCATCGGTCTCATCATCCGTTGTGAACCCTCTGTATTGATTGTGAACCCTCTGTATTGATCAGGTAAACGAAGCAATCCACAGTCAAAATAAGTTTTAAAACAAAAGCCAAGCATGTCAGTCAAAATCCGACCAAACGATAGATTGTATTTGCAATCAAAGTCATCCTTGAATTGGCTTAATTTTGACTTTAAGCCTTTTGACATAACTTATTTGTCAGTAACCTGTCTCAGTTTAAAAATTGATTGTACACAAAACATGCTCTTGTGAACCACATCAGCTGGGAGACATAAACACCATGTTCATGTATTAATGGATAATTGCTAGAGTACATAATTGTGGGAAGTTAAAAATGGAAAAGTTGGATCCATTTAGTTTTGTCATATACTTTAGTTGTAAGTATGCCATTTACGTCTACATACATATAAATATCAAAATATGAAATAGTTGTGGCAGACTCTATGTTGTTTTTTCTTTGGGAGATCTAGTCGACAAATGATTGAAAACGATAATTCAGAGCACGTAGTGTAGAATCAAAATATTTATTAATAAAGAAATTTAAATTCCATTTTTTTCTTTATGATAAACATGATGACTCAACTTTTTCAATCGTCAACTTCCCTAACTTATGTAGCAATATACCCTTATCACCTGCGTATTATATGTCTCTCAGTTGATTCGATACGCAAAAGCATGCTTTATGCAGGAAAATTTCTATAACGAGGCAAGTTACTGACAAACAAGTTGATGAATCAAGAATATCAACAGTCTCATCTGAAGTCATCATTTTGCAAGTTCTGTGGTCGATACAATTACATTGTCAGCAAATACAATCTATCATTAAGTCAAATGCTGATTGACGTTTATCAAACTAATTGTTAGGTCATTATTTACACATTGAATTGTCTAGGAATTTTTCCGTTTTCCCGATCATGACAAGGAGCACACGGCGGGTTTGACCGGTCGGCAGGGGTCGCTCACTACTCCTTGGCACCTGATCCCACAATTAGATGTCCTTGTTTGCTCTGCTCCTGATTTGTATTGTTTGAACAGACTTTTGAGTTTGAATACTGTTCAAAATCTCCATGTTTTATTAATTAAAGAAGCAGTTTGTAGGTCAAGTCAGACACCTTAGTCTTTATTGTAGTGAATGCTTGTAGAATGTTTTGAAAAGTCAGAAGTTTTGATACTAGCTCTTGATTTTAGGAAAAAAAATTCTTGAATTATCTATAACTTTTTTGGATTTTTTTTGAAGAGTCCATATTTGAATAACACCATTTCGTGAATTTAGTGTAGCCCAGTACTTGTACAATTTCTTCTTCACATCAGTAAAAAATTTTTATGGTGAGTAAAGATTTGAAATGGAACATACTAGACCATGCAGTTTATCTTCGTAAGGACATATAATTATGAAGTTTCGGAATCCAGCATAGGAATCATAAGTAATCCATACACAGTTTATTAATATTGTTAAATAGACAGACCTTTATTTAGGTTCATAATGAAGGGCTTTCTACATTTATATACAGTATTTACGTTCATTAGAAGAACGAACATGACGCCGCTGTTCTTTTTCCATCATGGGTTCTAGACAAAGCTCTTCTGAATTAAAAAAAAAATGATTCATTAACTATTTTAAAGTTTTATTGTAAAGTGTAAAACTAAAAGGATAAATAATAACTCCATCCCATTCAACTTATCGTCAAAGATCTACCCATGTAAACATTTTTTCCAAGGCCATTGCACTGACGGCGCGCAATAAAAAATTAAAGGAACGGGACTATTTTGTTGTGAAGGACAGTCATCAGACACAAAATTCCACTGACTCTTTACCGCTTCACCATAATCGTCTGCATACATTTTTGGAAGATGGTTCGAAATGTTAATGACACCTGCGCAAGACCGATATGAAGGTGGGAATGAGCCTGGTACAAGGCATTTTGGTTCACAAACTCTTCCAGAAGAATCATAAGCTGAGATGATAGCCTTTCCTTGTCCTAAGTTTGGATGCTTTACCGCTACATAAGCAGTAGTTTCCGACATCGGCTGCCTTTCGTCCAATACGCTATAATCAATGAAATTTCCGGCATAATTTAGACCATCCGACCGGATGTACACCTTTTTAATCCCAGAATTCATAGTCTTGCACGTTGGGAAGGTTGCTATCTTCTGTCTATAGACAGAAAAGAATGGCCGAAGTGCACTATAGATTAGAGGGTGATAAGGATCGGCACCGGGTATGTAATGTCCTCGAACAACGAGGGGACTTTTAAAGGCATGTCTGGAGACATCTCTTTTATTGATGATTCTTACAGGAATATATGCCCATCTTCTGATATCTGCCACACCGTCCATAGAGAACAAATTTTGTCTTCCTCTCTCCATAACTGGTGTTGAAGACTCAATTCGCAGTTGCTGGATCCCAGTCTTAGGTTTCCTTACTTTTGTGATTTTGTTTTCGTAGCTGAATTCCTGAAGATCCGTACTAGGAATTTGCTTATTTGATAAGTTTGTTTGTTGTGATAGTAATCGCTGTATATATTGGTTGTCTCGTTTGTTCCGAGTATGTCTCGTTGAACGCGCGAGACGCGTTCTTGGATCATTAAATGTGGTAAGAAATTGAAAATCGCCGAAATCAATTGGAGGGTTCTGATTGGTGTTGCTAGTTGCACCCACTTCTGCTGCGGTAAGAGCGACACACCTATTGATAGTTTCACTGCAACGAAGGAAACTGGATCCACCACAGCCATTTGCACACTCTGGGGTATTGGCATAAGTATAGAGGTCTGTAGTATAGGAATTACGATATCCTTCAATGTTTGTGACATCAAAGCCGTCCATCATTGCGCCTGGTAGATGCAGCGTATTATTGATCTCAGGATAATCAGTTTCTGGATTTGCCGATCCCAAGGCAACCTGCTTTTCCCTGAATCTTTCCCAAATATAATCAACGTGAGCATGATACATAAAAAAGACGGGGTCATGAGCGGCTGTCTCCAACCCCGACATAGTTCCGCCCACCCAATTATGAACATTATTGTGTTGTCCTTCCAAGGTGTTGGCTATATCTACACCAGTTCCTAAAACGATTTGGCTTGTTCTGTTGATATTTGGATCGTTGAGAAACAAGTCGAGACCTTCTGGTGTGAAGAGGGAGCCAACTGTTGCAATATCACGCTCTAGTCTTTGTCCATCCGGTCTGGCTGGCCAATCGGAAAAAGGTCCGTTTACGACTATTCCGTCCCCGTTTCCGACAAGGGCTGACGAGAAGAACGATGTATCAACAGGCTCCCCCATGACGAAATCTAATGTCGAGTCCCAGTAAGGCAGGCTGAGAGAGGGATTCACGCGCCTTAAGGCTGTCTCAAATCTGCAAATATTATTGATACGATGTAATTATAAACATTTCGGAACGGGTATTTACTTGAAAAATATAAAAGCGACATTGTTATGAAAACATCTTACAGGTGTTTGTTTTTAATACGACAAGAAATCTGAGTAGTATCAGGAAGTTCAAAAACCACAGGAACTGTAAACAGTTTTCCTTTTAATTATGAAAGAATGAACTTTTTTGTAATTTTTCACATTTAAACCAGACGTTAAGAATTTCTGGAATCGGTTATAATTACATGTATCTGTCTTTTTTAAAAGGCAACATTTTTCTCATTAAATAATCAGTTAAGAGTATTATGTATCTATGTACATGCAATGATAAACATGATAAGAAATCGAGGAATTTTGTATCTAATGTAATTTACAGGAGCAACAAGTCCAATGGTTTTGCAAAAAAAGTTTTACAGACAGATAGACTACATACCTTTTATCAACAGTCTCGTTTAAAGTCATCATTATATTTCGCAAGTTCTATGGTCTATACAATTATCTTTTCAGTAAATACAGTCTATCAAGTCGAATGCTGACTGATGTTTTTCACTTACTTATTGTTAGGCTATTATTTACAAACTGAACGTGGTTTCTCTGCTCTTAGTTTGCATTGTTTCATTGGACTTTTGAATTTGATTATTGTTCGTTATCTCTTTATATCATAAAAGAATAAACACTTTTGCACGTAGATCCAGGTTGGGTATTACAACCTTATGGAGTGCCAAGGGTAACTCCACTTATATCCTTTAGGAGCTAGGGTTTTGTTCACGAGAATTATTGCATGAAATTTCTTGTAATTTGTAAATTATAGCAATTTGGAATCATCTTTCTCTGTATACGTACTCTAATAAGTATTCTCTGTGCCATCCCAAAAATGCTGGTCCCTCGTGACCCGACTGAAGTACGGTGCCCATATGCATGTTTGCCAATGCATCGTAGCTCTTCAAAAGAAAAATATTTTAGAGATGAAACAGTCTACCATACTGCTATAAAAATTTTCAGAGAAAATGAATTGTCTGAACATTTCAAGTTCTAGACATACATACTGTAAATAATTTTTTATTCGTGATAACCTTGTTAAAACGCGAGACCGTATGTTCGCAAAAATGATACATGTATTTGTAGAAACATTAGCAAAAGTCGTAATTTTTCCCCCTTGTAATTGACAAAATTACTACTAGTATATCGCAAGCACAGATCGGTGATATTAAGTACTGTGCTCACTTGTGCATACTAAGTGTTGTGTAAGTATAAATAAACGCTTTATTCATTCTATATTTACCCCGTCATTTTTCATGGTGTTGACAGCATCAAAGAAAGCCTGTCTCTCCGTGTCACTTAAAGTTCGAATCTCTCTGCGAACTACAGGTGGCGCTGCGGCTTGTCTTTTATACCTCGTGTATCTATTCATACGCCTCTTCATATTTATTTCCCGCTGGAGGGACTTGATGAAATTAACGTCGTCGTTGCTTAATTTCAAATGGTAACGTGAAGATGATGTTTTCCACAGATATGAGTTGATACATCGACTGTGAATGGCGTAGGCAGGCGATGTATGGACTCTTGCAACACGAGAATAAAAGTTATAGCACTCTTTGAACTGGTCTGGAAGTTCACATTCCCATACTGCAGCGTATGTTTCCATGGCGACGAAACAAAAGACACAAAATAAGATCCTCTGCATTATTTTCTGAAATGATATGATAAGTTTCCAATTTCAGGTATATCTCGAAATTTAAGGAAATTATTTTCTTTGAATTTGATCACGGCAGGTAAATGTCGCAACAGCTATTACGCTAAACGTCAAAGAAATTTAAAATGAACTTTTTAAGATTTATTCTTTCGTAGCAAATGCATGTAATGGCCCGAATGACCTCCAATATAAAAAAGACATGGAACAAAAAAAGGTCAATCATCAAAGCGTCGTTTTTATGTTCGAACTCGAAAAAATCTTTTTCTTGACATTTTAATCTTTGGAGTTTATTTCAGATAAATTATTGTCAAAAACTGCAACTGAGCGTTAAATAGCATGTTTACATTCATTTCATTCATTCAAAACGACATGATACATTGTCAAATTCTTTCATACTAGTACATTTGTGTACTATAAGGTTAAGCTGGAAATTTTGTTTGCTTTGAACGACTCGTTGTTCTATTGATATATTTGTTTTGAACATATTTATTTGACAATATGTCAATTAGTTCCAATAACTTAGGTTACTTCGAATCTGAATAGCCATACAACCTTTACAAAGACTTGAATAGCCATACAGCTTTTACAAAGACTTAGGTATTATACATGTACATAGAAAACAATTGTTTTTATATCTAAGGAACATCAACTAATAATAATTATGATGAAAATAATGATGATGTTAACATCGATAAAGATATTCCTTATAACTTTGTATTATTGCACAGTGAAAACTGTCTAACCAGACACCTGTGCAATTCGTTTCACTGTGAATTCCGACAATCATTTTCATTCCAATTTTTTATTTTTCACGTTCTGTACACTGATGGAATCCGGTACCTCAGCGCATGTCGGATTAGACAGATTTCACCTTATAGGCTAAAAATCCGACTTTTTTTTCTCGAAAATTACTAATTTGAATGTCTAAGGTATTTCAGTTGATTGTGGTACTAATTTGTCAAAAGATTTTTTTCTTTTTTGAAAATTTTAGAATAGCTCACATCTTGTTCTTTGACCCACTTTTTGAAATATCAAAACAGAGCTGTACGACCTCGTATATTTATTACCGCTATAAAAAGGACTTTGACATTTACATGTACCTCCTTAATTTCTTGTTACAAGACTTTCGCGGTTTAATAACGCAAGTATTTTCTATATTTTTTGTGACAAACAATATATTTGATTTATAATTGAGGATTTAAGTTTCAAAGTTACATAAGGATACAAGGGCAGTAACCTTTTTTTTCCTCTTAGATTTAACAAGCATTGCGCATTTTAAATATCGAATCCCATCTCACATAGATCTAAAGTAAAGGGTGTGATGGACGGACGGACAAATACCAAATGTAGCGATCCCAATCAATCAATCAATTGTCGGACGCTAAACATAGGAAAAACTTGGAATGACCTGACTATGTAACTGAATTTCTAGAATTGCAATTTTTGGAAATAGATAGAAGAAAGAAATTACAATTTCACAGCCATCTACTTTTTGACTCTTCGAATATCAATATCAATGTCTATAACTTATCTAGTATGTGGTTTTACATAAAGGACAAATCATTTAGACTAATGAAAATTATGCATTGTTTTTCAATGACAGTTTAGAGAGAGAATTGAATAGATTAAACTAACAACTATCTCAATAAATAAAATAATCCTTGTCTCTGTATGAGCTTTACCTATTTAGAATTCAGTAATTAAAAAAAAAAATCATAAGAAAAAAATTATGCATTTTTTTTATGAAAAATGTATCACAAAGACGGAATAATTAATAAGCAGCCTTACCTCACACTTCGCTGGAAAAAAGTCCAGCAAATAAGGAAATATATATAAAGTAATATTTCGCTGCCAGTGTTTGTGTGTGTAAAAGAATTAAAATGCAGAATTTTGATTGCTCAGCCGAACGCTTCCCGAAAGCCCATGTGTTACTAAAATTTACGATTATTTGAATGATAAGAGGGAAAGTCGTTAAAATATGATTTCATCAAAATCTTCGAATAAGAGAAAAATTGACGTGACACCTTGACAAGCTAATGCCGAGCTTAATGCACTCGTCATGTCATTTCTATAATCAATCTGGTAGTCTAAAGACTATCTCTCTTCAACATACAATTCTATTTGGGAAAAAATCTCCATAATTAATTTGAACAAACCATCGAAACCCCTTTTTTGAATAAAGTATGACCAACATAATGGAATTCTTTTATAGACATATATCAAAATTAATTATATTACAATTATCTTTCACTCGCTCATGTTAATGTGGTTACATATAGGACTTAAACATTTTTTATTATGACAATTTTGAAGTTCCTTTTTGGTAGCCGTTATATTTTTTGGTGTTATATATGAACGCAATTAGAAATACATTTTAATAAAAAAAAAAATGGACATTTTCTATTTTGAATGTTCGTGATCTTTGCTAGAACAACCAAAACAAGTAGAGTTGCCATTTTCAAGTGCACCAAGGCAATAAATTAATTTCATTTTCAACAAATTATGATATAACAGTACCGGTCTAAAAGCCTGAAAGGCAAGTAGTAGGCACACGCATTTAAAAATATATGACAGTGAAAAATGAAGAGAATCTCTTAAATTTCAATGTACAAGATTTGGCAATAACACGATGGCTTAGTTAATTTTTTGATATAGAACCTCATTACCAATATTCAAGTTTCTGACCGCCAACATTTGGCTGAAATCCTGCAGACTCGGTGTTAAACAACAAAATATCGATATCAATCAATCAACCAACCAATCAATCAAACAAGTGTCTGAATATTATCCTAAGACTGAAATCCATATTACAGTTATTTGGAGCTTCTTCATTTTATAATTAATTCTTCATTATTGCAAATTAAAAAAAGACTTTCTTTCAAGACATCCGTCAAGAAAGAATCGTACCGTGTTCTAACCCAATATACTTACCCTGATACACGTGTATATGGTGGGAAATCAAAACTTTACTGCAATGTCTTGTACACCACGTAACTATTGTTCCCTGTACAGGAGCAAAAGATCTGCAATCAGAGAAATCAGTTGATTTAATTTAATAAAGCAGAACATTCATTAACGTATCTAGTAACAAATATGAGATACAAGTGTCCCATAAACGGGGAGACGTGAATTTGTAATTATTTTTTTTTTTTAAGAAAAATATAAATTAAAAATTAAAAAAAACATAAATATGAAATGATATGAATTGCTTTTCTTTTTCAAATGGTATATATCTTGTAGAAAATTTGTTTCTTAATTTGTTCGTTCGGTACTAGCTTACGATAGATTAATTAAACTGGCTCATGTGTGGTCATTTAAGGTTATTATTACTTTTACAAAGTGGTTGTTAACACAAATAATGGGCGGTCTTCATATAGACATGCTATAGACATGCTTTTCTGTCATGTATTCTTGATTTTAAATAGATTAAAAAAAAAAAAGAAATTAGAAAAAGAATGTAAGAAAAAATTACAGCAGTAAATAGCATGCAATTTTGACATTTAGAGCAATACAAACCAATTGCCATTTGTGGATTTTTTTTTATTAAAAAAAATATTTGATCGCTAGAAAGAAGAAAAAAAAATCACATACCTTCCGCCAACTCTCAAACACGTCTATTGGAACACAATAACCCCTCTCCAGATAAGTATAATTATTTTTCAACCAAACCACAAGATAAAATGGCGCTTTTAATTATCATACTTTGACAAATGTTGACAATAACAGACTACCTATATAATTCTAGTTACTAGTACAATACTCCGTCTTTATACCACAGTTTAACGGAATTTACCCTACATTATCAAAAAGGAGAAGCCTTTAAAAAAAAATTAAAAATTTGGATTTATCTCTGTTAAAATACGGGATGATGGACAAACTCAATCACAAGCCGTGCATTTATTGCCATTATTTCTTTTTACAGTGTCAAAATGCTAAAATCTACATATTATTTGTTAAAATTCAACTTGCGGTCGTTTTATCAACCTGTAAAGGGATTTCTTTCATACTTTTTTTTTGGTGTGTCTTGTACCAATTCATACCGATCACGAAACTCAAACTTTCCATAGATTAAAACCATCTTCTTTCTTTCTTATACAATTTATAATATCAACAAGTTTAATATCCTTTTACTTCCTGAATATATAAAAATTTAGGAATTTAAAAGTAAATGACGTCATTTTAATGATTTTTTTCTAATATGCACATACATAATAGTTACTTTGAATATACATGTATTTTAATAAAAACAGTATATTTAGTATATTTAATAAAATACTCGTTTTCTGTGGAAAAATAAAAGGAGATTCAATATTAAAGTATCATTTCATTTAAAAAAAAGTAATTCAATTAAAGCTTAATAATTAAAGTTTGCGTGTAATAAAACAAAATTAATAATTTATGTAAAAGAGCGCTACAGATGCGTGTTTTATATGTGTGGTTTACCATGTTAAGTCCTGTTTTTTCCCTCATAAAGCAGACATTTACAATTAATACCAAACTAGAAAACATAATTAAGATTGCATCGGTGAACATTTTTTCCGATGTGAACGACCCATAAAGTGGTATATACGGGGGTTGATTTAATAGAAATGTCATGGTGTCTTTTTTTTTTTTTTTTTTGGAATTGAGAATTGTGTATTCATAAAATTCCGCAAATTATTCTTCAGTATATTTTTGGTGTCTGAAAGTATCATTCAAATAAAAATGATAATTGAAAGATATCCAATGAAATACTATGGTGTGTGTTAACCCTGTTTTCTTGAAAATAAATTTATTTCCCCTTACACATTTATGTTATCTTTTCTCTCGTGTCTCTCTCACAAAGCGTCTCAATGTTAATTCTTCAAGCAGTGTTGTTTTGATTTTCCAATGATCGATACATTTACTCCAATCATTTCACATTTTTTAATGTTGCATCTGCCTTTCTAGGTAAAGTCGGAAACAAAGTCGTCATCACATTCTCATTCAGGTTCGTGATTTGTGATACATTGTATTTTAGTGAATGCTTTAAACTGAATCTTAGAATCGAGTGTGTCTCTAATATATTTTCAGCAAAAAAGAAAGTTTTATAAAATTAGATATCCAACCTTTACTTCAAGACTGTCTTCATTTCGACAACTCACCTTTACTCAATTCAATGAACGCCATTCTGTAATAAATCCTTCATTCTGATTCCGTTGGAGTTTAAGATTAATGTCAGAGATCTAAGAGTCATTTCAATTTGTTGGAATTCCTATGGCAACAAATTGCTCCCGTTATTAGCAGAATATTTTTGTATTTATATGAAGCAGAATTTACTCAAAAACTTTTACATCAAAAAAGAAGTGTCTTGCTGAGGCCTTCAATTCGACATTTAGATATATCGACGACGTTTTATCAATTAATAATATGCGTTTTTATTCCTACGTTGATTCGATTTTTACCTTTGAACTCGAAATAAACGACACCACAGAGTCTGATACATCTGTGTCATATTTAGATATTTTACTAGAAAAAGATATAATTCATGGCAAACTAACAACAAAAGTTTGTGATCAACGCAATGACTTCAATTTTCCCTTATTTATGTAGTAATATACCATTATCACTTGCACATTGAGTTTATGTCTCCCAGTTGTTTCAATACACAAGAGCATGCTCTACGTGCGAACAATTTCTAAAACGAGGTAGTCTGATTAAAACCAGCCCCCTTGTTCCTTCACCAGTCAGTGTTTGATAAATGAAAGGAGAAGGGGGCTGGTTTTAATCAGACTGAAAACGAGGCAAGCTATTGACAAATAAGTTGATGATACAAGGATATCAACGGTTCCGTTTAAAGTCAAATTTTTCATTTCATTTCAAGCTAATTCTATTAAGGAGAATATCGAATGTTAAGCTTAGATGGTTCCCCATCACCTGATTTCGGTTTGGTTGAGATCCATCGTACTTACATTCGATTTTAAGTTTCAAAATCTCGGCTCTATTTGAAATAGAAAGGACTTAATATTCATTAGGAAACAGCTTAGAAACATTTCACAAGCATGTTGTAACCAGAGTTCCTCCAATACACGCAGCAGGTTATCCACAAGCATTGAAATTAATCCCTGTCTTGAATTATGTTTTTAAAAAATCACCAAAATACCATAAATTTAAAATGACACATTAAAGTGCCACCAAACTATAATATGAAAGTATATGCATATTTGTTCTAACAAATCAGCATACAATGAATAAGTATCAGCATATACAGATAAATAATCTAAGTATAAGCATGTAATGACAAATATCATCCATCACATGATGAATTAAATCCTATTTATATAAGGCAGCTGATATATTCCATAGGACTGAATGAAGTGTACTACCTTCTGATCAACTCTCATTTTATGTTGAACCCTGAAAGCTAAGTTTCGATATAGCACTAAAAAAGAAAAAGAAGAATAAGGAGAATGGTTTTTATTCATGGGACAAGACTAACCCTATAGTCTTGAGAGCAGTTGTTATTTCATAAATAATATGCATAGGTGCTATCATTCGAGTAAGTGATATCACCTATTCAAATAAGTGATATCACCAATTCAGAAACTGAATAGGTGATATCACTTATTCGAATAAGTGATATCTCCAATTGTATAGGTGATATCACCTATTTGAATAGGTGATATCACTTAATGGCAGTAAATACCAAAACGGCGCCTCATAAATGCCTCCTACAAAACTTTGTCCGTTCAGTATATGTAAAAAAGCTGATCGGGAACATATTTTTTATTAGGAAATGCTATGTAAAATAACAGACAATAATAGTTATAAAGTTACAGTTATGGCTAAGGATCTACATTTTTTTAATCCTTCTGATTTCTAATAACATCAAAATCATTGTCTATTATCTATTGCATAAGGTATATCACATACAGTTATTAAAGTCCAAATCAGTTTCTTCTTAATGGAAAGAGATGAGGGGATGCTTACTCCTCCATGGCACCTGATCCCCCCACTGATGTTCTTTAGAGGTCCGTGTTTGCTCTGCTCTCGATTTGTATTGTTTCAATGGACTTCGACTTGATTACTGTTCGTTATCTCTATATTTCATGTACCCGTATGATGTTGAGTAAAATATCTATGCAAATTCCTGGAAACGATATTTCAAATAGAGGTTGCTTAACTTCCAAAATCTCCAATTTGATTCAAACATGGGTCAAGTATTTTTACTTCTCAGCGCCAGGTTGCTTAGTACATACATGTAGATACTCTTACCCCCCTTTACCTCCTACAAGCAAACACCCACTCCAGTCTTAAAAACAAATAATGAGTCATTTTCTTAATATTGGTTAATGTATGTACAAATGCAAGAAAATAAAAAAAGTTTAAAATTTACAGAACATGTATCTAAATATACTTTATAATCTTTGTTTCCTCTTTCTTCTAACTTTCCTAATTGTTTTGGAAGGTCTTTTATCTACTTGTGAAGATATTAATGTTTATACTCTAAACAGTTTTATTTTAACATCATGATCTTTATTTTCATGATTTATTTTTTTAATGGCAATTTTTCCATGCTTTAATATATCTTCCATCCATTGAACGACGACCTATAATCGGGATGACTAAAGAGATTTCCACTTTGGGTTTCAGTAGAATGAATGCGAACAAACACCACGTCACCTTGATTTACCTCCATCACCACGACTCCTGTCGTAGTTCTGAAACTTGTTGCGCCATTGCTCGATGTCAACATGCCCCCAACTGCATTAGAGTTGACTAGGATTTGAGAAAAAATATAGCCACCCGCACGACAGTAAAGGTTCCATGTAAACACATACACACCATGCTGTGGAGAAGTGAATATTCCGGAATGTAGATTATAGTGATTGCCAATGTTTGACACTATGATATCGAATTTAATTGTGTGGTCTTTTGATATTTCAGTCTCGTATGTAGACACAAAGGCAGAGAATGCTACTCCGTCTGCGAATGGAGGCTTTGTTGTGTGGACACCTGAAAGGTGATGCAAAATAGTCTTTATCTAGAGTCATGACGCATAAAATGTAGGTCAATTGCATCCGAAGCATGTAGGGACATTATCTGTTCTTTTATGGTTTGGATGACTTAAACTGAGCCTGAAACGGACCTTTACTTTAACTAAACGAACAAAAATCACATAAGCGTGCTATGTTACCTAAAGCAGCTCTGAAACAGTCACTCCATCGCTGATCTAGAGGTGGGTCAAGGGGGTTCCCCCTTGGATTTTCAGAGTTAACAAAACTAGAGAAGTAACCACAAATGACATTGGAACACTCTAGAAAACTCGGTAGCCTGGTAAAATTGTTAGAGTTGTATATATGACGGAAAGCGACCCTGCTATAACGCCTTTTATTTTTTTCAACCCATAGATTGATCCTAGTAGGCTAATAGGCTTTTGTAGAATAGACAGACTGATGGACACGTATATTTCAGTATCTCCTAAACAATTTTGTTGAAAATGCATATGCCAATCTAAACGATATTCAAAGAAAAGGAATGTGAACAAATCATTTGATGGAAACGTTAAGTAACATGTTTTGAATTTATCATATCTAGAAGTTCTGATTGTACTCACCTGTCAAAAGACGTTTCGCCATAGCTAATTTTTGTATCTGATTTGGTTTGTGAGAAAGCTTGAGTTTTGTTGGTTGGTTTGTATTCTCGGTTATTGAAAGATTCTGTTGTGCTTTCACGAATTTTTCGCTCTTTGCAGTTGAATCTAGTGAAGAGACTTGGACTGAGTTTCCTTTAGAAAGAACTGAGGATTTCGTAGACTTCTTGAAATTTTTGTCAACTATTGCATTTATGTCCTTTTTTGTCTCAGAAACCTCACGTTTATTTTCCATAGCTGTTATTCTTGCATTTAGTTGCCGGTTTGTTAACAGTAATTCCGAAACTCTAGCCTTAACGCTCTCCATTTCTATGTTAGAGCTATATAATTTCCCTTCTAGAAACAGTTGTAAAACTCTTCTTTCCAATTTTTGCTTTTCTTTTTGGATCTGCATTTCAAAATATCTCTGTAATCTGCTTCCTACTTTGTCTTCTGCGTCGTTCTTGTCTTCCATTCTCAACATGAGGCTATCCAGAAGATTTTCTACGTGATCAAGTCTTTCTTCGCATGTTTTGCAGACGATGTTTTAACCAGGAAAACCAGAAATAACACTCTAAAAACCATTTTGAATCTATCTAAATCTGTTATCACAAGAAAGACAGTGAAATATTTCTATCATAATGATAAGCATTGTGTAAGATAAAGGTCTAATTCTTAATAGTGCATTTGTAATACAGTATGATTGCAAAGTCGTTCATATATTGTCCTCTTTGTGTAAAAAAAGTATTCAAGTAAATAGAGACCCACAGCCATTTCTCATCATTAAAAATGACTTTACGAATTTTCCTTTTCTACATGACAATATACATGAAATTCATTTACTTGTACTGAATTGTCATTCATTCAGTCTATTGAGTATTAGATTGCAAGGAGATTTTTTTGGTCTTTCTTAGTATAATGCTAGATTGACTGATGACAGTGATACCTAACACCAGATTTACCTACAAAGAAATTGGAAACAGAGAAGTTGCCATCACAATTGTAATGCTGCCAAGACGGGATATTTAATGGATTGCAGCAACCGGAGGGGCATAACATGCATAACATGTATGTTGCTATCTGTCATCAGCAAAGTTCTAAGTTCTGAACAAAAGTTCTGAACAGAATCTCAGCCATAGTGAATCCCCTAATAAGGAAGGAGCAAGAAGGATTTAAGAAAGGCAGATCGTGTTATAATCAAATATTTACCTCACAGTGGAGCGTACTTCGTTTTTATGTGAACTTGACCTAACAAAGGCCTTTGATAGTATCAATCGACCAGCTCTATTGAAGATCCTGAACCACTATGACATACTTGCAAAGCTTATTGCCATCCTAAGGATGCTGTATGTTGATTTCTCTGACCAGCTCGCTGTTACAGTCTTACAGAAGAATTCTAAATTCACACCAGTGTAAATCAGGGCCGTTTGCTATCGCAAACAGTTAAAATTTTAAACTTTAGTGGTGGAAAAGCCAAAATTAAAGTTGGAAAAACCAAAATTAAGATGAAATTTAAGGGGAAATAATAACAACGTTTCACTAATAAGCTTCCTTAGGAAAAGCTACGATTAAGGTATGTTATTCCAAGTTTAAAGTTAAAAAGCCAATATTAAAATTTGAAAAGCTAACATTAATTTAGGAAAAACTGTTTAATTTTCAAGTTGGATTCTACCATTAAAATAAATAAATATGTCTACATGAAATTTATGTATCTATCCACTTTCTTTTGATAAAATTTCAAAAGGGTTTTTATCTACTATTATTTCTAAAAATAAAAAGATACTCGTATAATTATTTTGTGTTATTCTTTCTTAAGGGAAATATTCTAATATCTCTTAGACGTAGTGATTATTAATATTATTATTTTTGGTATGTTTTATTTAGTAAATCTTCCATCCATTAAACGACGACCTATAATCGAAATGACTATAGAGATTTCCAATATGGGTGTTGGTAGGATGAGTGCGGACAAACACCACGTCACCTTGATTGACCTCTACCTCCTGTTGTAGTTCTAAGATTTGTTGTGCCCTGGCCCGTTGTGAGCATGGCCGCAACAGCATTAGAATTAGCGACAACCTAGAAATAAATATAACCGCCGGTATGACAGTAAAGTTTCCATGTAAATACATACACATATGGTGTGGAGCAGTGAATGTTCCGGAATTATGTGGATTATAATAATTTACAACATTTGTCACTATGCTGTCGAATTTAATTGTGTGGTCTTTTGATATATCGGTCTCGTGTGTATACACAAAGGCAGAGAATGCTTCTCTGTCTGCGAATGGAGGCTTTGTTTACACAAAAGGCCTGTCCACTGTTGCCTGTCCTGGAACCAATGTTGGATCTGTACCCATGTCCATCCTTTCCAAAAGCTCGCTCCTTGATCGAAAGGTCGTGTATTCGAATCACGGCCGCGACTGACCTAATTCGCCAAAGAATAGGTAGCAACTATTCCTTCGCCAAGCGCTCGGCATATTGAAATGAAAGTTGCAGGTTCTTCTGATGAGACCTTAAACCGAGGCCCCGTGGTACGGTAGGCTTTGCCACCTTCACTGCTCAATGGCTCTGAGTGCCGAGTAAAGGTCTAAATTTAAAGCCCTTCACCGGTATGTAGTGACGTCTCTGTATGAGGGAAAAATTTTCGAACGGGACGTAAAACAACATACAATCAATCAATCAATCCATATAACTCTCTTAATGTGAATGTAGATATAAATTTTTTATACATGGATGATACATTGCTATAATTATTACATGAATTTTCAAAGAATATAATAATTTTTGGAATTTGAGACTTTGTTTAATTGTATCTATATCTATTTTTGATTGTATATTTGTGTGTTTCTAAAATCATTTACAAATAAGTGACATTCAATATCTCCCCGAGAATGTGCTTAAGTTAAATATTTGGGGGAAAAATCTTTATGAAATCAATCAATGAATATTGTGAGTAATTTCCATATATCTTTCGAAAGTTTAATATTTATATATTTCTCTCTAAACAAAAAATAGAACTCTTCTTTTACGATGTTTATAATTAACTCTCTAACCACAGCATATAATTTTTAATCCTGCAAATTAAGTACACATGTATTTCAAAGATATTAAAATAAAAGACATTATTCACGTAACGGAATTAATCAACAAATTATTGAAAAAAAAAGATCCCATCCTAATTTTTAACGTATGTATTAAATATGCACCATACACCCATGACCATTTTCAAAATTGCGATGATTAAGTAAGAATTACAAAGTACAGATTTATTACTATGTTAAGGAAATAGTATTCAGGTTAATTAGGGTTAAAGCGTGCACTTTCCAATCTTTTGTTAAAAATGAAAAAGTGATAACTTTATGCATTATTAGGTAAATGCTTGTAAAAAGGACTTGTACTATATAGATAAGGTTTATCGAATTCAAATCGAAATACGTGCCTGAAATCAATAATGAAAATGAATAAAGACCCATATCTGTGTGAAAATAAGTGTATTTGATGTCACATATTTTAGGCACACTAAGTGAAATTGACTCATCGCTCTCAACCCTCCCGATGACAGAAATTGTCCAGACCAAGACATGATGTGTGACAAGTATTTCTCAAAATTTGTGTTTTTTAAAACAATTGCTCTAACTCATGAGTTAACTTGATTTCTTCATTAGTTTGTCTGACCATTGTTTTCACTTTATTGCTTTGTAAAAATATTTTTGGAAAACATTATATTTGGAAATAAAATTGTTTGTTTACTTACTAACTATTACTATCTTATTGTAAAAGAAACTGTACATGTACAGGTAATAGAAGAAAGTTTGCTTGAAAGTTAATTTTTTTGTGGATAATTTTTTTTCATACAAGCAAAGATATAAAGTATTAGTATTTAAGAAATAATCTTTTGACAAATGACAGAAAGAGTGAACGATTTTGAAAGATAGAATTTCACCAATTTGTTAGTGTTATTTCTGCAATTTCTGTAAGTGGATATAGACTGTAGTCTAAGCTAGTTGTGGGGTCATATGATTGTTGATACGTGTGTCAACAGTTGAGGTCATGCGCAACTTACATGTACTTGCACTTTATAATATGACATGTACTTTTCCAACTGATAAATTTCCGAGATATTCTTGATTTAAAATTATTATACCATCAGATATTCTTAGACAAAATATCATCATACATTACCAGGAGTTTTGAAAAAAAAAAATTAAATAACAAAAAATAGTTTTAGCTGGTATTTCCACAAAAATTGATACAGAAAAGGTGTACAGCATTTACAGGCATAAAAAAATCCCACAAAGGTCCTTCAATAATTGGAACTCTTATATTAAAAAAGGAATATGAAAATAATGTTCCAAACTTATAGGGAATAAGAAAATAATGATTCAAACTACGTTACTTATGTCCTTAACTTCAAAGCTATTTATTGCAATACAATTTTTATACATATTTGACTTAAACTTAGAGTAAATTGAGTATAATTTTGGGTGAGAGAACAAAGTCTATCCCCAAAAAGACTAATCATTATTGGTGTTTAGAAAACTAGAGAAATAACACAATATTAAATTATAAACACAAATGCATATGATATGAATGGGACCGGTATTTTCATCAGTGATTTTTTTTCACAGGAAAGGAACATCTTGACCTAGACAAGTGTTATTGTCGGAATTCTTCAAATGTTATATTTCTTTAGGAACTAAAATTTTCTATTTTATCTGTGTACCGCATGATACATTTACTTCCTTGAGCTCCCAACCAAATGTCTTGATTTCCATCCACACAGATAGCAACAGGAAGTTGCCATTTTGGTCAATCATTTGGATTTTTTTACCAGCTAAAACCAAATGATTTATCCCTAAATCCATATTCGAGGTGTTTATTACTTCTCTATTTCTTTCACTGTAATAAAAGATTGTTCAGTTGTTTTCTTTTCTGGAGATGGTTCAGTTGTCGACCTTTCTGGAAATCGTTCAGTTGTCACCTTTTCGGGTGATCGTTCTGTTGTCACCCTTTCTGATGATCGTTCTGTTGTCACACTTTCTGGTGATCGTTCCGTTGTCTTTCTTTGAGATCGTTTATTAGTATCTTTTTGTGTACTCTCTGGAATTTGTTTAATTGACATGGTTACTAGAGATCGTTCTGTTGTCAACCTTCGTGGAGACCGTCCAGTTGTTATCCTTTCTGGAAATATAGTTCAGCTGTCGAGCTTTTTGGAGTTCGTTTATATATACATTGTAATGCTCTCTGAAGATCTTTCAGTTGACACGGTTCTTTGAGATTTTTCTAAGTAGCTTACTCTTGGTAACAAGCTTTCAATATCAGTTTGTTTGAGGACATTCTGTTCATATCTTGGTATTAAAGGTTCCGATAGTCTTGGAATGTTCATCATTTTTTTCATGGCATCCACTTTTTCTTTTTGAGTAATGATGAACTCAGCTGGCAGCTCTGTCATGATTCGATATCTTCATATTT